CCTGCCTGGACCAGCCCCCCCAGCGTCCAGCAGAAGCCCATCTCCTGTCTCCGGGAGGAGAGGCTGGACCCAGAGCCAGAGCTTTGCCAGGTTCACGCTCCCCCGGCAGATGGACCCCGAGGGACCATTACCTCCCATCACTTGAGCTCTAATAACAGTATTAACAGGACTAATCAAATTTTCCCTGCCTTACCACCCCGTCTGGTTGCTGCTTGGAAAACACGTGTGATGTAGTCAGGAAAGTGGCATTTGGACCAGGTCCATAAGAAATTGAGTACTAATTTATCAGTACTGTAGGGCTCTCCCTGCCGCCTGGAAGCCAGAGTCGGACTAGCAAGTCCTCGCAGAGCCGCCTCTGCCTCCTGCCCCCATCCCTCGGCACAGCCGCCCCTCTGCCCTGTGCCCAGCGGATCCGCAGGGCTCAGCCGTGCACCCCCCGCTCTGGCGCATCTCCGCGCACCCGGGAGAGTCCCTCTCCCCGCAGCCCCCCGCAGCGGCGTCTGTGCAGCTGGCTCAGATGTGCCACCCGCGGCAGAGGACGAGACATGCGTGTCCCCTCCTCGGCAGCTCCTGCCAGGGCAATGGCAAACACGGCAGGAGCCCCGCACCTCACCCACGGGCTCCGAGGGACGGGGACGGGCTGTGCCCCCGGGGGAACAGCCAGAGCCGGCGCAGAGCTCAGACCCACGGAGGAGCAAAGCCGCGTGTTCAAAGCTGCCATTTTTAATCGCGGTGGTTGCAAGCATGTCTTGTCATTGGACTATGGTCATGAGCAGCTGTTTACACTCTTTGAAAAGCTTTTTTCTCTTTACTCTTATAAATAAACCCAAGCACCAGTACCGAGCTGTACGGTGAGCTGCTGTATTAGTCCTCATCACAGGGCTTTAGAGAGAACAGTAATTACTTCTTGATACTGGAGTTCCCCGCATATATATCCTCCTCTGTATTGACAAACCTGCCTGCCACAGTCTTGCTCAAAGCCGGCAGCGGTGGAATTTGGAGTGGCAGCACAAAGCAGGAAGAGGTCCAGGTTCCGGAGACCCTGTCTCTGCATTAAAAGGTGCTGGGATGGCTTTTGGCCAGTCTCACAAAATACATCTGGTATTTATTCCGCTGGGGGGTACCTAAGTGGTCAGACACTGCAGCAAACGCTGTTTCCCCAGGGCTGATTAGATTAGAGAGCAGAGGTGCTTGAGAGCTTGCTGCTATTGCCAGGAAAGAAGAGCAAAGGCTGAAGAAGATTCTCAGAAACATCCACGCCCCGATGTTCTTCCCCAAAGCTGCTTGTCCGTGCCAGTTAGAAATGCAGAAGCATCACCTTTGCAAATACAGCCCATTTATTTATATTATTTGGCTCATCAAATATAAGCCAAAACACAGACAGTGACAAATGGTCCCCTGGCTTTTTGAGCTCCCCCAGCACCCCCCACGCTGCGTCCCTGCCCAGTACACCTCATACGAAGTGCAACCCCTCCGCCGTTCTGCCCGTCCCCTGGCCGCAGCGTGTCCATGAGCAAGGCGCCCCTTCTCTGGCCGTGGGGACGGGCAAGTCCCATCGCCGCAGCCGGCAGGTCGTGCCACGGGGCCGGGGCGGGCAGGCAGCCATCGCCTGCGAGGGACGGGGCCAGCAGCAGCACCGCCACGGTCTGCCTTCCCCTAAAGCCTCCTTCTTAGAAAGAGGAAAGCCAGCAACTGCACACGTGAACAGCCTCCGAAGGAAGGATAACGCTGCGTGGCCGGGACATCGGTCTCGAGAAGGAGCTGGGTAGCCCAGACAAGGTCCTGAAGAATTTGTGGTGCTGCAATACCTCTTCACGCTGTTAAGCTTTTAATTCATCCAGCTTTGTTACCTTGGATATTTCGTTCTCTAAATCAGTGCAGCCCCCAGAATGATAAAAACCTTCATTAATACCACTGGGTTATTGCCTAAAACAACAGCACGCGATCTGGTGCTTTTTAGTTTGGTTTTGCTGTCGCTTGGGACAGGATTAGAGAGAAATATATCTACTAATTCTTCCAATATCCTTCAGCAAACATCAGCTCGGACCAAAGAGGACACGAGATGCCAGTGCTAGTAATTGGAAAGCAGCTCTTCACTTGCAGATGGTCGGAGACCCTTGATGGCACCCCAGGCTTTGACATAATTATCGCAGGCACAGAGCAGCTGCCAACGAGCACAGCACTTGAGCAAAAAGGAAGAGAGCTGCTTAATCATACAGCCTCTCTTCCCCAAAGGGGGCTTTCGTCCCTGTTCAAACCCTTTGCAGGGGTGCTGCGTGAAGCACAAATCAAATATCACGGAAGGGGCTTACATACATTCCATTAGTGGCTTTACTTGCTCAGGCAGAAATTAGCATTTTGCCTGTGAAGGGTGGAGGCTGTGGCACCTCCTGCTGCAGAGGTGGGGGCAGGCGCCGGCGGGACCCCGTCCCCGTGCTGCCAGGGCCCGCACCACCGTCAGCAGCAGCAGCAGCACATCCCCCGAAGCGCTCCCCTACCCGCAGCCGTGCCCACGACGGGACGGGACCGAGCCGCCCCCCCCTGCAGCAAGCCCGAAGGCGTCAGAGGGCGAACGAGCACCCGCAACGCAAAGCGTGATGCTCGAGCCCACGAGACCACTGTGCGTCTGCTGGAAAAGCCTCCGTGTGAAGCAGCTCGGGCCATCTCCCGTGGGATGGAGGACGGTGATATTGATGGACGGAGGGAATCCTCCTATGACGCAGAGACAGACTCAGGTCTTTCTCCAGGGCAGCCGTCTGCAGCTGGTGAACTCCGCTTACAGCAGAACGTGTTACCAGGCCTGAAGCACAGCACTGCACTTTGTAAGAACAAATTTCATCCCAGTTACCTTGCTCCTGCATTTTTCTCTGAAATATTCCCGCGCCCCAAGCCGTCAGCGCCCTGTGCCTGTGGCGCATCCCCAGCCCCGAGGGGTCCCCCCAGCCGGATCCCCACCGCCCCACACCACGGCCCGACGGCTGCCAGCCTTACCCAGTTCTTACTCGCCTTTGCCATTCTTGCTCTAATCTCAGTTTGCTGTGGTTCAGCCAAGTTTGTCTCACGCTCAACGGCAGTGTGTGCAGTTTCGGTTCCCCGCGCTGCCACGCTGCACTGCCCACGGGACAGCCTGCCCAGGTTGCGTGCTGAGGAACCCACAGTACATCTTATCCCACTTCCCACTTACTGCTGGGTTTTTGGAGCTATTCGTGAGCTCAAGTGTTGCAGCATCACAGTGGTCTTTCCCAAACAAGACAGAATTTTCTGGCCCGACACCTCTGGCTTTGTGTCAAGTTCAGTTTCCCCAGCCAGCGAGTCCCGTTGCCTGCCAGTCACTAAGTTCACACCCAGTCGTTAAGCTCACATCGGCTGTCGGCCCATCATGGTGTTACACCACCAGGATGGCTGCGGTCAGTGCTGACAGCTCTCTGGGGTTGTCCACACAAGGTTTAGCCTCACCAAATGTCGCCACAAAGGAATGTGGCAGTGGGGTCTGAGATGACTTCCCATCCATCCCCACCCGCAGGAAGGCACGAGGAGCGATGCCTTCGTTTCCACTGGCAATAAGCGTAATTAATATGTGGCCACAGAGAGCCCCAGGCAGGGAGCGGGGTTCTGCGCATCCTCGTGCTGCCCTGCGGCACCGGGACGGGAGCCGAGGAGCAGCCTGGCCCTCGCGCTTGGCGCAGGATGCGGTTTATGTTTTGTTTTTTCTTGTAACTCTGTTCCTGACCTTGCAACTGTTAACTCTCAAAATCTGACCTTAAGCCTTGCTAAATAAATTTTTCCTCTGTGTTACCGTAAGGGCTGTGCAATGCCGGGAACGATGCTCAATCACGGCAGGCGGGAGAAGCAAAGGGTCTCCGCGGGGCAGCCAGGCTGCATGGGGCCGGGGAGCTCTGCCAGCACAGACCCCCCTCGGGATGCCCGGACCAGGCACACGTTTGCCCCGCTGACGCACAGGGCGACAGCAGAAACCCCAAGGAGCTTTGCAGGGTATGGAGCAGTTTCCATCCCGCTTGGCCCCAGGACATGGGGCCGCAGCGATGCGGGGGAAGCGGCACCGAGTGGGGCCCATGGCCGGAGCCCAGAGCCCTGCAGAGTCCCCGTGGGACGGCGCCAGGCAGAGCTGAGACACCGGCGCGTGCCGCGGGACGGACCAAGCGTGGAGCAGGTCGGCCGCACTGCCGGCGCATGCCGAGAGCTGGCTGCGACCACACGCGGCCCCACCGGACATGTCCCCCTGCCCTGGTGTCCCGCTCGCCCACCGGCCACCGTGGACGGGCAGCCGCAGGTAAATCACAGCAGCCACCGTGTCTCGGGAGGGGGAGCACGAGCAGAGCAGCCAGATGCCGCGTAGACTTCAGAGAGCGGTAAAGTAATTAAGTATTGACTGAGAATGTCCTAAGCGAGCCCCGGATGCGCATTACATTCTGCTTAACTCAATAATTACCGTATATATTATCCCTTTCCACACTCTATCTTTATTAAGCTAAAAGGTCTGTAATTAGCTACGTGGTTTAAGTGTAAGATTTTAATTAATTCATATTATGAAATATAATTGCTTATTAGAGACAATGTCGCACATTCTATCACACCAGTCTGTCTCCGTAATACTTTAACCAAAATACAAAGGTTTATGTCACAGTGGGTGATCGGAGGTTTTGTTAATCAGGCACTGGGATGCAAAACATCCCCTACGAAGCCAAAAGGAACCAACAGACCGGTACGAGACTTGTACAAACCCACTCCCAGCCCCATTTCCCCTCCCAAAACCGAGCAGGGCACGCGAGGCCGCTGCAGCCGCAGAGCGGTGCCCGCTGTGCCCGGGGGGAGGCTTTGTCCCTGTGGGACCAACGTCTGCAACGGCCGCGCAGACGGAGCGCCCGCACCGCGGGGTGACGGTCCCGCAAGAGCTGCAGTCAGCGGCACCGACCGCGCAGAAACACCCGCCACAGCCGCCACCTCTGCGAGCAGTCAAGAGATTTGCCCGGCGGCGTTTTCGGGAGCGTCGGGGCTGGCAGCGCCGCGGTCCCATGAAACACAGGAGAGGGTTCCATGGCGTCACCCCCGTGGCAGCCCCGTCTCTTCGAGAGAGCTCGAGCGCAGGCAGCAGGCGGGGAGGCAGCCACGGTCTGTGCGTTTTGTCACCCCTCCCAGCTCTCCCCGCACCCGAGGAATGCAATTTGTGGGGAACCATGTTCTTCGCTTAATCAGCCTCGTCAGCAAACCTCGCCTGAACCTTCGTATTCCCTTCGCTCCTGCTGGCGGCCGCAGGGGGAGTGTGGGTCACCTGCCGCCGCCGAACCTGGCCCCATCGCCCACCGACAGCACCGTGGCCCGGCGTCTGCACGTGTCTTTAGCTGACGATTTAAGCTTTGATTCCATTTAATTTAGATGTTAGAAGAGTTTTATTTTAGGACTTAATATGTTATTTATGAAGGTATGTCAACACAGCATATCAATTTAGCAGCTGCTGCTAGTTTACTATGAGATGCTGTTTAAGACAGGACAATCTGTCTCGCTGTATAATGTCAATTCTGTAGCACTTACACAAATGCAAAGTCACTACAACATTAGAAACAAACAACAGCCATACCAGAGACTTAGAGAGATACCTTGTAAACTGCACGATAAATTATTGACTTTACGGCATTTGGTGCTGAATTAAAATGATAAACTAAAGTTTTTATCTGCCGAAAGCCGTTTCCATGGTGTTGAAGCAGCAGATGGTCTTTCCTGGAGATAAAGGACTTCAAAGCTTTGCCAGTGCAGAGAACTGGAGATTTTACATATGTATTGTAAAATTTAAGAGGAGAGCACCTGGTGTTGCAGCCTGACAGTGGCTGGCATGGCTCTGCCTCGCAGGTGGCCGAGTCCCAGACAGCCAAGCGGGACCGGTACCCACCACGGCCCCAGCCCGTCCAGGGCGTGTTCAAAAGGCCGTACGGACCCAATTAGCTGCTTATCAGGGGCTCCTTCATACTCACTCGGGAGGGAAACCCCAACAGTCACAGCCTTCCCTTCATTCACACCAACAGCCTGTTCTGGCCCTGTTTTATGGGTCACTAATTCCTAATAAGTAGAAAACTGCATGATGGGCTTTGGATAGGAATAGTTTACTGTATCAGAGACAATCCATGATCTAAATCACCAGCTATAAATCAATTTTTGAATGCTGACATATCTTTAATAATGATAAATGAAGAATTTATGGATGCTGCTAAAGTTCACATCAAGATTTTGATTTATGAGCACGCTGAGCTCAGGTGGAGCCATCAACCCCAGGTCCAGCACCTTGTCCCAGCCTTGGGCAGCCACGTGTCCCTCACCTGCACGCCGGCGACTGCCAGCCCTCGGTCTCCCTCCAGTGCTGCAGGGCTGGAGGTCCCCGTGGACCACGGCCAAGCAACTGCAGGTGTGTCTGAGCTGCTGCCTCCTGTGCCAGCTCCCACCGTCCTCACCGCCACGCTGCAGACAACCGGCACGGCGAGAGGTTTTCCTTTCTGTGCATTGAAGGATGCTCCCCCTCGTCCGGAACGCATCGTCCTCAGGTGGTGCTTCTCCTGCCTCTCTATTTCTCTTGACTTCGCCTGCAGACACCCTTTGTCACCGCCCGTGAGGGTCTGTGGGGGGACAGACAGTAGTGTGGGGTGAGATGTGACCATCTCAGCTTTTGCAGAATTCAGGATGCCGAACTGGCGCAGGCGCTGCCGAGAGCTGAAGGGCGAAGGGCTGGAGCAGAAAGCTGGGAGCCAGGAGACACTGAGGCTGCAGGAGGCCAACAGACCCAAAAACGGCTCGGCCACCTGCAAGGCTGAAGACAGATAGTCTCATTTTGTAATAGCGCCATGGTAATGGTAGGAGCTCCGCCATGTATTTCACACAAACAAGACTCGTGAGCAACTCCAGACACAGGCACAGCCCTCGTCCGTCCGTCTGTCCGCTGGCTCTGGGGGTCTCTCTGCTGCCCGGAGCGCCGGGACGCAGCTCCCTGACGGGGGCTGTTCTCCTTCCCAGAAGGAAGGCCTTCTGGGCTGGAGAGCTGATTTTCATTTGATTTCAATTTACCGTTGGAATTAAGCTGGTGTAAAACAGTGTGTGAAGAGAAAAATTACCATGTCTGTTTAGAGAGCGTAAAATAGGTACTTGACTGTTTGACCACTTAGATAGCGGGGTCCAGATCACTCTCCACCCAGCTCACGTCCTGCCACAATTAATAAGCTGAAAATGCTCGTTAGAAGCGAACAGTAAACAATAAATAACCTCAGTGCCTGTCGCTCCCCTCCTTCGGGCTCGTACTCTGCCTCCCCCTGCCTCGCCTGCGCCCGCAGAGCGGCCGCGCGCGGCGTTGGTGGGAGCCGCAGCGGCCATGCTCGGGGTCGGGGCTGCGTGGTGGGGTACAGGGGTGCTGCTCGTGGCCACGGCAGCCCGCTGCGAACCAAAGGCACCTGCAGCGCCGGTGCAGGACGGCCCCGGGAGCAGGCGCCCCGTCGGTGCCCTCCAGCCCCTCTCAGCTGGCCGGGGGCTCCCCCGGCCCCATCCCTCTCTGCCGAGGCTGACCGCGGGACCCCCCGGCACCGGGGATGGATCGTAAAGGGGCTGTGCTCGCCACCCCCGCGCCTGCCGCGCGCTGCCCGTCCTCCGGCGGGGAACCGGCCAGCCCGGCACTGCCTCTCCTTCCCCGGCTGGGAGCGCCGACCCCGATCTGTCTTTCTCCAGGGAATACTACATACATGTGCCATGAAAAGGCAAGGCATGACACAGGGACTCGCAATTAGCCTGTTCCCGTTGTAACGAGGGTGAGAGCACGATGGTTGTTGCCAGCATCCCCGCGGTGTGCGCCGGCATGCCCGGGAGCCCCAGGAGGGCTGCTCAGGGTCGAAGCAGGGGGCTGATCCCCTTCCCCACCCAGCCCCTCATTTAACAACGTCTGGAGGCTTTGCAACGTGAAGCACTGAGCTGTTTGGCCCAAGCCACGGCCATGACAGCTCCCCAGCGAGCCAGAGAAACATTAATTGCTAAGCAAGTAATTAGTGGCTGCAAAATATGACCAATACAATTACACTGAGGGTTTTTTTCCCTCTTTCTGTGCAGAGTCTTGGCACTGAACGGTCTCATAATTAGATGACAAACTGACGGGCAGCTCCGGTGAAACCGCCCATCCTCGTCTTTTGCAGAGACTCCCCAAATGTTCTGCACCAATAATTACTAATCAAGTTATTTCTTTCAGTATTAAAAAGGCATTTCATAGGTAATTCGCCCATAATAGCACAGGCCCGGCGCTGGCAAACAGCCCCGTACCTCCGGGGTGCGCCCAGAGCCCAGCGGGTGGGGGACAGCCTCAGCTCTGGGCTCACAGTCGCTCCCTGAAGCAACCCCCCCCAGCTCGCGACCCTCCGGTGCCCCCACGGGCTCTGGGCTCTGCACGGCCGCTCCATCCCCGAAACATTAATTGCTAAGCAAGTAATTAGTGGCTGCAAAATATGACCAATACAATTACACTGAGGGTTTTTTTCCCTCTTTCTGTGCAGAGTCTTGGCACTGAACGGTCTCATAATTAGATGACAAACTGACGGGCAGCTCCGGTGAAACCGCCCATCCTCGTCTTTTGCAGAGACTCCCCAAATGTTCTGCACCAATAATTACTAATCAAGTTATTTCTTTCAGTATTAAAAAGGCATTTCATAGGTAATTCGCCCATAATAGCACAGGCCCGGCGCTGGCAAACAGCCCCGTACCTCCGGGGTGCGCCCAGAGCCCAGCGGGTGGGGGACAGCTCCAGCTCTGGGCTCACAGTCGCTCCCTGAAGCGACCCCCCCCAGCTCGGGACCCTCCGGTGCCCCCACGGGCTCCGGGCTCTGCACAGCCGCTCCATCTCCTGAAATTGCCACGCACAGACGCTCGGCGTGGTGCAGCCCACCGCCGTCCAGCACACACGCTGCTCCACCACGTCGTGATGGGACCACGGCACGGCCGGGACCTGCGCGTGGGCGAGGGACGGGACAGACCGGCGAAGGAGGAGCAATACCCGATGAGCCCCGCTCCCTCCAGCCTGGCGCTGGGCACAAGGATCAATGCCGTGGGGGAGGACGAAAGGGCCCACGGGCAGCGGTGTGCCCATACCACCCCCTCCGCAGGTCCAACCTGCTGACCCAGTCCCCACCTGCACTGGGACATGCCCTCCTCAGCACCGTTTCATCCCAGATGTTCACAGCTGCCGCTGGTGATGTGTCCTGGCTCAGTGGCACTCTAATGTCATCCATCTGCATTTTCTAAGACTATTTGGGAAAAAAGCCCACAAGTCTGTAGTTTGTCATTATCATACAGACCTGGAAAACAGCTGAACAAACCACTAATATTGAACAAACAAACAAACAAAACCTAATAATGGCTTCTATCGAGCAGAGACCCAAAGCTGATGGATGACCTGTAGCAGCCCAGGAGAATTATTTCTGAATTGCTATTGATTTCCAAAATCAAAATGTAAATTTTGCCTCACAATTGAAGTATTGGGGGAAGTTTTTGCTTTTAGAAAATCTTTCCTCTCCCTGTGACTTTGGTGGGAGGGAATAACATTCACTGCAGCCAAGCCCCCATTATTCTCATGGACACAGAGCAAGCTGGTTACACGCAGGCACCCACACCGGGGGGCTGGCCGGTGTCTGAGCATCGCAGGGCATCCTCGGGGTCCTCCTAGATGCCGAAATGCTGACACAGGGGCAGAGCATCCGAGAGCAACCAACGAGCTCTACAGCTCCTGCCCTGCCGCCTCCAAACGTGGCTCTGTGTTTGGGCAGGAGCTCAGCACGTCACTGTGAAATCTAAACTAATTAACTAACTAACTGGCAATCCGAAAATGTTAGAAACAGCCCCTCTCCGTCCCGGCGCAGAAGAGCCACTGGCGAGCGATCCTGCCGGGCTCCGCAGATGCAGCAGCCCAGGACAGCACGTCCCACACCAGCAAATGCCGGCGGTAGCTGCCGCTGGTGCACACCCTGCTCCTCCTCCAGCGGCTCAGTGTCCGCCGCCCCCCTGCATCCCCAGCCTTTCATCATTA